CCGTGGCTGCTGGCACAACGCTCAGGATGGGGCATGGCCGATCTGCATCTCCTGGGGTGCTCCCGCTGCAGCCAGAGTCGACGGGAGGGGACGTGACCTCTGGTCCCTCTTCTACCCTCCATGCCAGCGGTGTGGGAGATGGACCGTGTCCCCTGGGAGCCACCCAGCACCCCCTGGCCCTGTGCTGCGCCTGCCAGGAGAGGAGCCCAGCCAAGCCCTTGGTCCTTGCTTTTCCCTCCATTAACAGATAGGCTGGACCCAGAGCTGAGTTTCTTGGGGGTGAGGCCAGAAAATCCTCCTTTGACCAGTGGGGATACCTGGGCAGCTCAGTTGGTGGGATTTGGAGGGGATCCAGCCCCCAGCTCGGAGAAGCCACTGTGCCCGTGGCCAGCAGGATGCTCCCTGTCACATAGCAGGAAAGTGATGCCGGATCCAGGAGCCCTGGCTGGACCTTGGGGCTTCATCCTGGCAAGCTCCTGCCTGTTGCAAAGTGTCCCTGCAAGGTATTTTTGCTGCTGCTCCGTTCTCCTGTGCTGGTGGGAGCTGTTTGGGCTGCGGTCGACTAACTTGGGGCTTGTGGCTGCTGTCACAGCTGAGAGGTCTCCCCAGCTCTTCCCCAACACATCTCCTTGGCATCTGTGCATGACAGCCGGGGCTGCTGGCAGGTGTGAATGTCCCTGTCGCCCCTGAGACAGTTTATTAGAGGCCAGGGAAGGACTGAACCCTGATTTCAACTGCCTCCTTCCAAAGCTCAACTCTTTCTGCTGTTTCCCGCGGAATTTTGCTTCCGCGGATGGATTCCACAGGGAGGAATTGCTGTGGATAAGGCACTGGAAAGGAATCGCCTCCCTGCCCCGTTCCCAGAATGCTGCATCAGTAGATGTGGGGCGGGAAGGTGTGTGTGGGTCATGGGGGTGTTCCACATCCCTTACCCGGCGCGGGCAGTGCCGCGGCCGTGCTGCTCCTGCTGCCCTTCACTCTCTTTGCTCTCGCCCCCGGC